CTGCCTAGAATCCCCCAGTGAGAGGCTGGGGTGTGGCTCAGTGGTAGAGCATTTGCCTAGAATTCCCCAAGTGAGGGGCTGGGGTGTGGCTCAGTAGTAGAGCACTTGCCTGGCATGTGAGATACCCTCAACTCTATCTCCAACACTACAAAAGAAAAAGAGAGAGAGAGAGAGAGAGAGAGAGAGAGAGAGAGAGAGAGAGAGACAGCAAAAGCAGAGTCCATGCAACAATGGAATCAGAGATGGAGTGAGGCAGCCGCCGGGAAAGTCTAGATGTTGGAGAGATGAAAGGACCCTCCTCTGGAGCCCCAGTAGAACGGGTGGCCTGCCACAGGACATGCTTCTACCACCGAAGGAGTGCGAGGAGTGGCCCTACCCCTCTGTCTGCACCCTCTGGTCAATGGAAGACACTACAGGTGCCAGGCCTAAAGGGACCCTCAGCAGCCAGCTCCATTCATGCAAGTCACCCAAGGCATGGTGCCAGGCAGTGGGGCACCCCGCTCAACACCCATTTTCCCGTTCTCAAGATGGCATGAGGGTCCTGGAGCCGCAGTCTAAGAAGAGCCACCTGTAGCCACCAACACCTTTATCACCGTATTCCTGCCTCTGCGCCATCCCCACCTCTGCTCCCAGATAAGGAGGCTAAAGCCACACAGTCATGGAGGATCAGACTCCTCCATGTCCTGGTGGGCAGGTCACAGCCACATCCCACGGCCCTTCCACCTACCTCCTGGGAGCCTGGGTAGCAGCTCCTGTCAGCCCCGGCAGGGCCTTCCTGAGGACACTGAGTGCTTGCTCCCGGCTGCTTTCCTGGACAGGGGAATCCACAACAGCAGAAGCTGCGCTGGCAGAGGCTTTCACTGTGGTGGGGACCCTACCAGTGGGGACATTCACCGCAGTGGGAACCCTGCCAGCGGGGGCAGTCACTGCAGTGGGGACCCCGCCAGCGGGGGCAGTCACCACAGTGGACATTCTGCCATCAGCAGCACTCACCACAGTGAGGACCCTGCTGGTGGGGGAAGTCACCACATGGGGGGCCCTGCCAGCAGGGGCAGTCACCGCAGTGGGGACCCCGCCAGCGGGGGCAGTCACCACAGCGGGGACCCCGCCAGCGGGGGCAGTCACCACAGCGGGGGCCCTGCCGGCAGGACTGCTGCTGGCTGGGGTTGGGCCCGGGGAACGGTTCTGGAAAAATTTCTCTCGGGCCTGCTGGGTCCTAGAGGCTGAGGGGGTCCAGGCTGTGGTGGCTGCTGTGCTTGGAGATTCTGTGCTGGAGTTGAGTTGCGTCTTAACACCTTTTGAAGCCGTGTGGCCTTGGGGTACAGATGGTTTAGAGTCCAGAGCACTTGGGGACACAACAGGACGGGAGCTGGCGGTCACTGTGCTGCTCTGGGCAGGTGGCGACCATTGTGTTGCGGAGCTGTTAGTCACACGGGTGATGGCCTTGCTATTCACAGAAGTAGTGGCCACCAGGCTCGTGGGCAGCCTGGGCCCTGCAGGGCTCCCCACACGGACTTGGGAGGTAGCTGGAGGGTCAGGATCATTTCCGACAAAACCTTTGGCAGTCCTGTTGCCTACAGCGGGTTCCCAGGCTGCTGCCCTGGCCCTCAGCGAGGTCACCTCTCCGTTTGCCTCCTGAACCCTCCGTGAGACGCCGGTCGGCTTGTTGTCTGCAGCAGAAACCCCTGGCTGCCTTGAGGCCAGGCTTGACAACTTGGGGCTCGCAGAGGTGACTTCCAGGCCGTGATGAGAGCAGACAAAGACCCCCGGCTCTCCCGTGGCACGGTAGGCCCCTGAGTGCAGCGTGTTGGAACACCGTCTACACCTGTGGGAGGAAGCCACGGAGACTCCGTCATTCATCCACCCCCTCACTCATTCATTTCACGCTCCCGAAAGCACACACTGCCACATCTCCATCCATTCAGCAGGTGCTCGCTAGTGATTTCAGGCACTGTGAGTTGCAGCCTCACCTGGTGGCTTGTCAGGGCGTGGGCACCACAGGGCGCCCAGACATGTCACTAGCTGCATACATAAAGACACACAGTGTGCCTCACCTTCAGGAGTCCAACCACCCCAAGGCTGATAGGTGGACAGAGGAGTCACTCCTCGGCCCCCAAATCTAGGTGCTCTGGGAGGCAGGGAGGAGATGACTATGGGTCACAGAGTTAAAACAAACAAACAAGCAAGCAACACAACGGGCTGAGAAAAGCCAAGGGAGGCTGAGTCAGTGTGTCTGGAAGGACATCCCCAAGGGGGCATTAAAGAAGGATATCTGTGGCCAGTGGAAGACAGATGGGAGGCCCGTGGGAGCCAGGGGAGGTGTGTGAGCGAGAAAGTGACATCCCGACATGCAGCGGGGAGCCATACCTGAAGCAGCTCCGGTGGTAGAGCCGGCCATCAGCCAGGTGCCGCTGCACGAGGTGAACGTGCTTGCCGCAGACCCCACAGCTGCTGCTGACAGAGCTGCCCGCCGTCCCCAGAGCCTGCAGGGAGGGGCCAGGACCGTGGAGGGGCAGCTGGCACCTACAACCTCCCACCTCAGCCCAGAGGTGGCCAACAGACCCGCTCTATAGGTTAGAGACCTGACAGGGGCCCTGGAGAGCCAGGAGCCCGGGCATGGGCGTGGTCACACACTCAGGGCCTCCAAACGGCCCTGTGGTGGAGCAGGAGACCGGACGCTGAGGATGCTGGGGACAAACCTAGTACCTCCTGTCACCCCTCCAGGCCCTGGGATCAGGCTACTTCCCCTGGCATCCAGGCCTGCCTTGCTCTAGCGCCAGGGACCCTAGAGGACCCAGCGAGGCCCAGCAGGGGGCACCCCAGCTCAGGGCTGCGGGGCTGGCCTGGGAAGCAAGGTCCAGTGCAGTGTCCCTTCCCATCCGGAAACAGGACAACAGCCTAAACCAGCCCGGAAAGGTCTTTGGTTCCAGCTCCATTCTACTTGGATGACATCTCGTGCCTCAGTTTACCCATTGGTCGTACGGGAACCACAACTCTTTGCCATGCCTAGGAATGCTACCTCAGTGGGTGCGCTGGATATGAAGCACTGGAAGGGGCGCCGTGCCCTGAGACAAAATCCCACACAGCTCTACGTTTTCGGATATGCACAGCCCTGCGATGCCCACTCAACTGAGCTATGCTTACAGCCTTTGGGGATGGCCTCTCCGAGCCACCGTCATTCCTCTGAACCACCGGGTTTGTCCTCGCTGGAGACAGCGGTGACCTCTGCATTGGAGCAGGTGAGGGCAACTTGGCAGGCTGGGCCGGAACCTTCTTTCCAGAGAGTTCTTCAGTTGTGTCTGATGAGGGTCTCTTCATACCAGCCATGCCTCCAACTGGCACAGAAAACAGGGGTCAGGAGGCGCCCACCCAGAGCTTGTGCCCTCTAAGAAGTCCTTGTGTGCACGCTGAAAGGCACGGGCCCCTAGGACAGCTGCTGGGACACAGCGCAGAGAAAGGGCAGCCTCAGGGCACATTTTTCCCAGAAAACCCTGGCCTGGCCCTCACCCCTTCTCCTAGCCGACAGCCCCATCTAGGGTCACGGAAAGGGACTTTTCTGTTTCCAAACCACCAGTTGGGGCTGGCCCTCAGCCCGGGGGATTCCGGAGATTTCTAAAGCTTTAAGAGGAATGTGGCGCAGGGAGACAAGCAGCTCCCCACTCGGAGGGCGAAGACCCGCTCTGTCCTCTCTGCCCTGCCCATCCCTGCCTCAGCCACACAGCTTCCCTGCCGAGGTCAATCCAGCATGAACAGGGGCTGCAAAATTACTCTAGCCACCGGCTGAGACCCTCAGGGTCGAGACAGGCAAAGAGGGTAAAAGGCCAGGACAGAGCGTTCTGCACCTAGGAACACAGGGTAGACACAGCCGTGCTGAGTGTCTCCCGGCAGGACTAAACTGGGGGATAAGGATGCCCCGGGGTCCTGGTCTCCTTGGTAACAGACACAGCTATAGGATTCACACGCATGGTCTCAAAAAGGTGCCCTCCTTGCCCCCTCGCATCACTAGCCATCAGTGCTGGGGCATGAGGACGGAGGGTGGGCATGGAGACCCGAAGGGAGGACTGCAGGACAGGCTGGTGGCCCTGGCAGCATTGGCAGTCTGTCACGCCCCCGGCAGGGGAGGGCCCTCTGGACCGGGACTCACTTGGGGAGCGGCCGTGGAAGTAGTTGTAATACTGAGACACGTAGGTGAGGATGCTCAGCCGGTCTGGAACCTTCAAGGCCACCATGTCCTCGGCCTCTAGCAGGGCAGGGATGCCCAACTGTTCCTCAGCCACCTGAAAGGCCTGGAAAGGGGCTCAAATCAGTGGGATAGCCCAGCTGAAAGAAGGGGGCAATGAAGCCTGGGCTTCAAGTCAGAGGGCTCCCGCCTGACTTGTCCATTTGTATAAAGGTTCAAAGTCCCAACAGGACTTTGTTCCTCAGGAGAGCAGACCGAGGGCAGGTCGTATGTTGGGGACAGGTGCTGTAAACTGAACCCATGACCTCCCACACGATAGGAAAGTGCTCTTCCACCGAGCCCACCCCCAGCCCCTCACTGGGGGATTCTAGGCAGGGGCTCTACCACTGAGCTACACCCAGCCCCTCACTGGGGGATTCTAGGCAGGAGCTCTACCACTGAGCCATACCCCCAGCCCCTCACTGGGGAATTCTAGGCAGGGGCTCTACCATGGAGCCACACCCCCAGTGCCAATACTCACCCTGGACTTGTAACCCTCCTGTCTCAGCCTTCTGAGTAGCTAGGTCTACAGGTTTGTACTGCCAGGCCTGGCTCTAGGAGGCTTTTGGAGTCTTGTCCTCACTCCACCCTTGGGGTTCATCACTTTGGAATCAGCGCCGAGCCTCCAGAGCCCTACTGAGCCAAACCTCATCTACTTAGAGCAGGTTGTCTATGGGGCGCCTGACACCCCGAGCCAGGGACTGGGAAGCACTAGGCTGGGAAGGCCAGGAGCCCAGATATACAGAGCACCTGCTGCATACCAGACCCCATAATTTCCAGCACAGTGCCTTTCCTACCTCCGCCATCTGCTGCCCACCTCCAGGACCAAAGCCCATGGAGGCTCTAACTACTGACCTATGGCCTTGTTTGCCCTCCCCATCTGCTTCCCTTGCCAGGCAGCCCCTGGACACCCCTCTGTACTCCCTGTCTCCATCTGACTCTTGGCCTCGCTGAGACAGCCACCTGTGGTTGCCAGTGACTTCCACCCACTCAAGCCCTCATCAAACTGCCAACTGTGGCTGCAGGCCTATCACCCCAGATACCTGGGAGGCTGAGGCAGGCTGATTATGAGTTCAGGAGTATTCTGGGCTACAGAGTGAGTTCAAGACCAGCCAGACCTACTTAGTAATATTATCTCAAAATAAAAACTTAAAGGGTGGTTGGGAATGTGACTTAGAGACCCTGCCTAGAATGCCCGAGTGAGGGGCTGATGTGTGGCTCAGGAATAGAGCATCTGCCTAGAATCCCCCAGTGAGGGGCTGGGGTATGGCTCAGTATAATATCGGCCTAGTATGTGTGAAGCCCTGAGTTCAAATCTAGGACTGCAAAACAGAATGCATAAAAAGTAAAGCTCCACCAGTTCCATTTAGTCCAGGGCAGAGGCACTGATGTCATGGCCTTGGTGACGTCCCACATCCTGGTGACTCCAAGAGCTCTCCTGTAGTTCCCTTCACTGTCTCTCCTCTTCCACATGCCTGTGTGGCCTCCATATGGATGCCAAGTCTGGGTTCCTATGCTGCTGCCACACGTGCAGCTCCCTAGTGCCCCCACAGCACACTCATACCAAGCCTCAGATCTCCTCTGACCCGCACAGCGAGCCTAGTGCTTGGCCACTCCCACTGAGGGCCATTTGTGCCTTCTGTATGACCTCCTCACCACACACTCCTTTCTCCTGCAGAGTCTGGGGGTGGAGAGCCCCAGGTTCATGCTTCCCAGGAACCCAGTTTCACTCGCTGGGAGGGAGAGACCAAAGTCCTTCCTCCGCCACGCCCTGCACCTGCCTCGAGACCCTTAGCCACCAGCCAGCCCCTCAACTGTGTCCTTCCCAGCACTCTGCAGCCCCAAGGCCTCTGCCCGTGCGCCACTCCAGCCAGCATGACTTCCTCAGAGCATCCACACCCCTGCCAGCAGGCACCCATGCAGCCCAGCCTCATCTCCTCAGCGCGTGCTCCTGTCTCAAGCCCAGGGCCGTGACAGCAGTGTACCAGCGATCCTGGCTGCGTGCTCCTGCCGTGCAGTCAGCCCCTGAGGAACTGACTCGTTTGCGCACATGCATCTGTGTATTTTTTTGCGCGCATATACACATGGAAGTGGAAGCCAGGTCAAGGTCAAGGTTTCTCTCAATCGCTCTCTACCATGTTTTTTTACATGTATGTGGGGGGGGGGGAACACACATGTTCAAGTGTGTGGGGGGTGTGTATGTCATGTGCCCACGTGTGTGGAGGCTGGAGGGTGACACCGATGCCTTCCTTGATCACTTTCCATCTTGTGTATTGACTCAGGGTCCCTCGCTTGAATCCCAAGTTGGCCAGTGGGCTACTCTGGCCAGCCAGCTAGCTCTGGTGCTCCCTGACCCACCTCCATGCGCTGGCGTTGCAGGCCAGCCGCTACACTCATCCGCCAGTTACACGGGGGCTGGGGATCTGAACGTGGGTCTTCCTCACTGAGCCATATCCCCGGCCCAAGGTGCTGGGCTTAAAAGCATGTGCTGCCACCAGGCTCGGCCCGGAACTGAGCCTCTAATTGTAGTTCATGATCATTAAGTCGCAGAGGCTGCCCTGCCTGGATAGGAAAGCCATCTCATGTCCACTGTCTCAGTCCTGCTCAGTGATGTCAGTCCAGGGACCCACGTGGACATTGCTTGGCTCGGAGTAAGAACAGATATGTTTCAGTCCAAGGGACAGTGGGGCTTATTTTGTAGCAGGGGGAGTTAGGCTGGCACAGGGAAGATTCTCCTGGTGGGGGTACAGATAGGTCTGGAATCAAGGGGCCAGGGAAGGTGGTCCCCCAGGACCAGGGAGCAGTCCTGTCCATCCTCAGGACCACCACGACTTACCCTCCCACAGCTTGCAGTGGCCTTGCTCCGTCCTGGGTGGATCAGACAGGCCATCCACAGAGGAGTTGGCTACCACTTCCTGGGGTCCCAGAGAGGGAGAGAGGGTGCCTGGGGCCTAGGATCTAAGGTGAGGTCAAATCCCCAGGACAGAACAGAACCCCAGGACAGCATAGGGGAAGGCTCGCTCCACTGAGGTGCAGTGGTCCTTCAGACATGAGGCGGGGGTCTGAGGCAGAGGCCTTAGGGGACAGGGCAGTGGGCATCAGCTGGCCTACTCACCAGCTTGTTGTTCTCGTAAATGTTTTCCTTCCGGAGGGCACTGAAGTTTCTGAAAGATAAAAACACTTGTGTCAAAAATAACAACAAAAAGCCTGTCACTGGTGGCACACACCTTTAATCCCAGCTCTCAGGAGGCAGAGGCAGGCAAATCTCTGAGTTTAAGACCAGCCTGGTTTACAAAGTGAGTTCCAGGACAGCCAGGGCTACACAGAGAAACTGTGTCTCAAAAACAAATAAATAAACAAACAAAAACAGACAGACAAACATGTCAGCCTGGTCTATATACCAAGTAGGACAGGCAGGTGTATATAGGGAGACCTTGTCTCAACAAAAGAAAACACTTATGTCCAAAGCTACTCAACTCTAAGAAGAAAGTAAGGCCTCAGGGTTATTTTGCCCAAATGGGGAAACTGAGGCTAGGAGTGGGGCTGTGAACTCACTGTGAATTCCCAAGCAAATCTAAGATGTGCAGGCTGGCACCAGGTCTGGCCTACAGTGACCACAATGATGCCACCACCGCCTACCACTCGGGTACAGGTGACCCACGGTAGGGCCCCAGGTTGGCCCTCACCTCCAGCCAATAAGGAGGCTGAGCCCTTGGTTGCTATTCCTGCCCCCAATCAGATGTAGCAGAAGACAAATCCAGAGAAATACAACCATCAGCCCGGGGTGGTCCAGTCAAGACAGAGCTCAGAGCAGAAAGGACGCTGTGGGGTGAACATGAGAGGCCCTGAGGAGCCGAGCCGACACACAGAGGGATGACATGCTCCAGGGACAGCGCTGACTCTGTTTATGGATCTGGCCCCCTCTGCAGGGCCGCTGTTCTGAGCAACTTATAAACATATACCTCCTAGATGCTCACAGGTCCTGCGGGCTGGACACTGAGCACAGAGGCTTTGGGACACATGCAAGACACTAGCAGGAGGCAGGGCCAACCACTCCATCTTTTATCCATGGGGAGGTGAGACTCGGTGTCCACCACATAGGTACCTGGTCCCTCGACTGGCTTCGGGATTGAGTCCATATGTGACCACCGGCTCCCAGGAAGTACCCAAGGTGGGGCCCCAAGCAGCCCAGACAGGAGAGCTGTCTTGGAGAGGCCAAGGGTGCCACCTACCCAGTGCCCGGTGGGCCCTAGACTCCATGAGCATGTCACGTTTCCTGACATGCCACAACACGGCAAACCACGGCCCAGCTGAAAGCTGCCTTGCCCAGCCCCATCTTGACAAGAGAGGCCCGCCAGAGTCTGCTGGCATCCCCAGGGAGGCTGGCTGAAGAGCAACTAACTGCCCTTCCATCCGCTGCTGCCTGTGGGTCCCAGGAGGTGCTGCTGCTACCGGGGTGACCTAAATTGTTCAGGAAGCTTCCTGGCACAGAGGAAGGGTCTCTGACCGAACACCGTGTCCTGTTTCTTAGAGTCTGCCTCTGGCAGGCCACTTCCCTTGGAACCCCAGGCTCCCTGCCTGTGAGGACAACACAACTTTGAAGACGGAATTCTTTTTCTTTTCCTTGGTCTTCTTTTTCTATTTACAGTATTCATTACAGTGTCTCTATCTAGCCAGTGTGCTTGCGAGTGGGCCCTGGGGTACCACGCATGTGTGCAGACATCAGAGTATGTTCCCTTCTTCCACCACGTGGATCCTAACCAAACTCAGGTCATCAGGCTTGGTGTCAAGCCATCCAAATCGTTTGGTTTTGCTTTTTGTTTTTTGGCGGTGCTGGGAATTGAACTTAGGGCCTCACTCTTCACACATGCTAGGTAAGCACATCACTACTGAGCTACATTCTCGGCCTTCTATGTGTGGGCATGTTTATTTGTGTGCAGGCAGATGTGAGTCAGTATCAGTGTCTTTTGCCATCACTCTCAGTGAACCTGTTGCTCACTGGTTGAGCTAGGAGGGCCAGTCAGGGAACTCCAGAGATCCATTCTCCTGCCTCCAACCACCACCTCAGCACTGAGATTCGGGCCACTGCATCTGCCCTTTGTCCATGAGTTCTGGGCCTCGAACTCAGGCCCTCATGCATGTACGGCAAATGCTTTACCAACTTAGCTGTCTCCTCAGTCCCTCCTACCCCTTTTCCTTCCTCCTCCTCTTCTCCCCTCCTCCCTCCCGCCTTCTTTCCTTCCCTGAGGTTCTAGAAACAGAGATTTAGGCCCTCCTCCATGCTAAAAAACACCTTTTACCACTTGGCTCCATCCCAGTCCCAAATGTAAGTCTTGTTCAGACACCAGTTGGCCAGATGTGACAGTCACATTCCCCGGACACAGGCACGTCTCAAACAACAAAGAGGGAAGGTTCTGGGTGCCCACAGCCGCCCGACCCGGGACAGCCTGGTCTGAAGCCAGTCTGCCAGCAGAAGCCAGGCCTTGCCCAGTTCTGTGCCATGAGGACCCTCAGAGGCCTGGGCTGCATTTTGTAGACCAACTAAAATGCGATGGGTCAGTCCTGTCACATAGTGGGGTTCAGAGCTGGAGTGCGTGTGTCCCACCCTTACAAAACCTCCCCTTCAGCTATCAGCACAGCCAGCCAGCAGCTGCCAGTTACCCGGCCCTTCAGGAAACTCCCAGCATTTCCGGCCAGGACCACCTCCGATAACGCATTCCAGATGCCAGGACCACCCGCACAGTGAGAGGTGGGCCAACAAAGGACAGGGGCAGGGAAGGGGCGGCTTTCAGCCCCCGGACATGTGGGTAGATGCCATCCACCTGAGCCTGTCCCCAGATGCAGGGTGTCCCTAGACTGTTCAAGGACTGGCGTGTGCGTGTCCAGCCTTCACTGGACAGCCCAGAGTCCTCCAGCCACTCTGGTCCCTCCCATCCCCCACCCCTTTGAAAGCACAAGCCCTTCTCTGGCGCCCAGGGTCACTGACCTCAATGGCTACTGCTAGGAGGCCGGACAACAAGCTGTGTTTTGTTTCTAAACAGAAGAGGAAGAGGCGGCTGCTGGCCTCCTGCTTTCACCTCTGTCCACCCAGGGAGCCCAGGGCCTCCCTGTGGCCCTGCTTTGTCATCTCACTCACGGGTCCAGGTACTCCAGAGCCCTTCCAGGCCCCCAGCAGAGCGGCCGCACTCTGAGAAGGGGCATGGTACACTGGTCGAGACAAGCCATCTGTTTCCATCTAACTCTCAGGACCAAGCATAAATGGCTTCCCTGGGCCCAAAAGGTCTCCATGACCACACGGAACCACCCTGGCCAGTCCCTCCAGTTACCACAGCCTGTTGACACCAGGCCCAGCCTCCGGACCTCAAACCAAGTTGTTCCCTGTCTCTGCCTGATGAACTCTCCAGGGTCCTCTAAGGACACTCAGGTCCCCAAGCAAACATGTGTGTGCCTTTGCTTTCCCATGCCCTGAGCTCATGTCGCCCTTGGCATGGGGTACAGAAGGCAGCCCATCCGTCCCTGAGTTGCTGAGGCCTGCGCTAGTGTGCCAAAAGGGGGCCCATCAGGATGCTTTCTCATCATTATTACTGTATACGGAGGGTGGCGTGTCTGCTTCAGCTTATGTGTTGACATCAGAGGACAGCTTTGTGGAATTGGTTCTCTCCTTCCACTTGTGTGTGGGTCCTGGGGAGCAAACCCCGGTCCCCAGGTTTGTGCAGAAAGCACCTTCACCCACTAAGCCATCTCTCTGGAGTCTGGGTGTGACTTTACTTATTTATGCTTTAAAAGAGTATTTATCTTTATTTTGTTAGTCTGTTTTGTTTTGCTTTTTTTCAAGACAGGGATTCTCTGTGTAGCCTTGGCTGGCCTCGAGCTCAGAGATCCACCTGCCTCTGCCTCCCGAGTGCTGGGACTGAATGTGCCCGGCCTTATTTTTATTTTGGATGTATGAGTATTTCGCCAGCATATATGTCTTTGTACCACATGTGTGCAGTGCCCTCAGAAGAAGATCCAGAAGAAGGCACTGGATCCTCTGGAACTGGAGTTATAGGCAGTTGTGAGCGGCCGTGTGGGTGCGCGGCGCTGAACCCCTGCTCGAGCGACCGATGCGTTTTTAACTGATGAGCCATCTTGCCAGCTCCTAGTAATTCATTTTTGAGACAGGAACTCACACAGCCCAGGATGGCCTCAAACTCACTTTGTGGCCAAAGACAACCCTGAACTCCTGATCTTGCTGCCTCTACCTCCCAAGCACTAGGATTACAGGTGTAAGCCAGGCCTTGGCGTTCTGACTGAGCCTACCAAATCCGGGGCTCACCATCTTAGCAGAAAGCCCTTCACAGCCAGCTTCCCAGAGAACACTAAGGGTCCAGCAACATACCCTGTCTGAGACAGGGTCTCAGACAGCCCAGGTTAGACTCCCTACGTAGTTGTGCTAGCTAGCTTTGATGTTAACTTGACCCAGGCAAGGGTCACCTGGAAAGAGGGAATTCAACTGAGAAAATGCCTCCGATCAGATTGCCTGGAGGCAAGCCTGTGGGACATTTTCTTGATTAATGATTGATGTGGTAGGGCACAGCCCATTGCAGGCAGAGCTGCCTCACACAGCACAGGTCCCCTGAGCAGGTGGCCCTGAGTGATGTAAAGCTGTGTAAGTCATGGGAGCAAGCCCACCAGCTACGCTCCTTCACGGCCTCTGCTTCAGTGCCTGTCTCCACGTTCCTGCCTTCACCTCCCTCAAAGTGGACTGAAGGTGTAAGCCAAATACACTTTTCTCCTGTGGTGATTGCAATAGGAAGGTCCCTAGAGGCCCATACATTTGAATACTTGGTCATGGGGGGGGGTGGCCTTGGTGGAGTAGGTGCGGCCTTCTTGGAGGAAGTATGTTGCTGGGGTGGGCTTTGGGGTTCCAGATGCTGAAGCCAGGTCCGGCGTCTCTCTTCCTGCTCCTCCAGCACCTGTCTGCCTGCGTGCCGCCATGCTGAAAATGGACAAAACCCTGAACTGTAAGCCAGCCCCAACTAAACGCTTTCCTTTACAAGAGCTGCTGCGGTCATGGTACCTCTTCACAGCAATAGAACATTTGCTTTTGGTCACGGTGTTTCTACCACAGCAACAGAAACACTAGTAAGACAGTCAGCAAGGCCAGCCTTGAACTTCCGATCCT